CCTTAAGTGCTTCATAATCTCAAATCTGTCTTCCCATTTCATCGAGGAAGCATTCTCGAACAGAAACCATTTTGGCCTCGCCTCATTCATTACTCTTATAAAAAATAGTATACTTTTCGGCCCGTGCAATCCATGTTTTCCCTTTACTGTTCCCCGATGCTTAGGCCTTGCCAAATCCACATGCATCTCCCCCGGGTCCTTTCGTTTGACTCTCCTCAGGTCCTGCCAATTTTGCATTCATATCACTCTTTGTCCTTTCTTGTTCCTTGCTTATTTTTAATTTTTTTCATGCATGCTGCCCAATTCATCCCTTGTGCATCTCTCTTTCAGACACCTTGTCAGACCTGTTTCCAAATACTCATCTGTTTCCCAGCCTGCCAGTCTTTCTCTCAGATCCATACATAGTCCATCATACGAGTCTTTTCTTTTCCAGACGTCTTACTTAGCCCATTTTCAAGCTTATGCCAAATCAATCACGCAAGTCGCTTGCCAAGCCTTTTCTCAAGCTCATGCAACGTCAATTTCTCACCCATTTCTCTTCTGGACATCTTGCCAGACATTTTTTCAAGCCTGCGCAAAGTCAATTACTCATCCATTCTTCTCTTCTGGACATCTTGCCAGACCTTTTTCTTAAGCTCATGCAACATTAATTACTCATTCATTCTTTTCTTCTGGACATCTTGCCAGACTTTTTCTCAAGTCTGCGCAAAGTCGATTACTCATTCATTCTTACGCTCATGGTACCCTTCTCTTTTGCACGCTTTTTCTTTGGTAGATGGCACACCTTCATCCCACTCAAAATGCGATGTCCCCATAGCACGACTGGTTCTCACTCGGAGGTACGCAGACCTTGCCCACCAACGAGTAGGCGGATGCCATCCCATCAGCCCCAAAAAGGAAGGGTGATCGGTCCTCCCCCTGCTGATAACTCACCTCATCCGTTACTCCGTCCGACATTTTGCCGCTTACGAGACGAGCGTCATCACTGAGGTACCTCCTCATATCTGGCAGGCCTGTCCAGTCCAAAACCTCCCAGGACCCTGTCTTGCCGCAAGGGCTTTCTCGCGAATCGTTCCTCCCGGGTGGTGTTTTCTTGGATCCGGCCTCTTCCTTTCAAGAGAGTTGGGGCTCTCAATTAGTCCACGAGTGCAGTTACGAAAACCTCGCAGTTAGTCCCGAAGCGGTTGTAATGCTCCGGCGGGGCGGTGTCACTCGCCCCGTGGTGGTTGTGGCTTCCACCTGGTACCACGCCCAACTCCTCCCTTCTGGACAGTGCTGCTCAACTTAACGCGAGCCGCCCTGGTCCATTCCAAGCGGCCATGCCGCCCCTTAACGACATGGCGTGTGGTTGGGGAGAACAAAAGAGACTAGAAAAGAAGAATGAATCTCTCGCCCATTTGGTTCCCTCACCCTTTGACGTTTAGGTGTTCAACACGAGGCGCAATTTGAACTTCCCGACTAGAGCTCGTTGTCGGGGTTAGTTCCGGACGTCCCGCACCGATCCAAGTGGTAGGTGCCTTGGTCCTTTAACCCTCATCCTCTTACAAGAGGAACAAGTCACGATGAGACTTTTTCCCTTACAGGGATAGAGGTCTTGGGGTCACGGTGCGAGCACCAGTATCCCCCTCCTGCTGAGGCCAAGGACTTGAAAAAGAGAAAATCCATTTCAATCCTATTTCCAAGTCCATTTCAAGTTGCCTAGGATCCCCTGCTTATACAAATGCAATATTCAATCCTCAATCATTCAATCCAATGGTATTTCCAAGGCTGATTCTCATGGCTGGTCTGACAGCCTCTTATCATCAAGATCACCCTCACGGCTGGTCTGGCGGTCATTCTCTCAATAGCCATTTCTCAAAATTGACTCTTCCGCCCACTCAATCCTCAATTTTCTCATTCCTCAACACCCGATTTCTGTGACCGTCCCAACGGTCCCTGCCCTTCTCGGCTTTAAGGCTCCGCCTTCTTTATCTTGTCCTTCTCTTTCGCATTTTTCTTCCGCCCCCTTGGCAATTTTCAGTGGCCGACCCACCGACCTTTTCCATTTCCTCCATTCAACTCATTAGCTATTTCAACAACCGACCTACCGGCCTTTTCCACCTCCCTCATCCATTCTTTGGCTATTTTCAATGACCGACCCACCGACCTTTCCCATTTCTCTCATCCCATCGGCTATTTCAATGACCGTCCCACCGACCTTTCCCATCTCTTTCATTCATCCCATTGGCTATTTCAATGACCGACCCACCGACCTTCTCCATCTCTCTTATTCCAGCTCATTCTCAATCAACCTTTCTCAATCCAATATGCAGGGGACCCCAGTGCCTATTTCAAAAGGAATGGCCCTTGTAACGGGTCATTCCCGAACAACCTGGTTAGGGTCGTTCTTATCCATTCTCAAGTCGAACAACCTGGTTAGGGTCATTCCTTTCCATTCTCAAGTCGAACAGCCTGGTTAGGGTCATTTCTTTCCATAATCAAGTCGAACAGCCTGGTTAGGGTCATTCCTTTCCATTCTCAAGGCTAGTGCCCGAGGGGGTGGGCCTCGAGGTTATGGATCTCATTTCTGTCTTGGAGGTTAGAAGGTGACCATCTCAGCTTTTGCGTGTTGTTCTCTTCCTTCCATTTCTCACAGTAATGTACCAGCAATTCCATTTTTCACAGTAATATACCATCCATTCCATTTCTCACAGTAACGTACCATCCATTCCATTTCTCACAGTAACGTACCATCCATTGTGTACACTCGACTTAGCGTCTAGTACTCGAGTTGGGGCTCGCGACCCCAAGCAGCACTAGCTCACCCGGCCGTTCATCCATAACATAAGACAAAAGCGCCCCTTCCATTTTCACTCTTCCTGATCTCTCAGGTTTCGGCTATTCTCAGTCTCATTCATGACTCAGTTGGATTAGGCTCCTAGAGAAGGAGTGTTCTTCACGCCCCTTAACCCATAGGTTCCCTAACCTCTCTTGTACTCGACCAGTCATTCAATGCCATGGTTTGCTTGTCAATCCGTACTCAAGGTTTTCCCCTCTCAAAAGCATAATCCTTGTTCCATCCAAAATTCACAATAAGCCCTCTCCCAATTGGTCTCATCCCAAATCCCATGTCTTTGTCTTAGGTACCCAAAGTAGCTCATCTAAAGGTAGCCTCAACAACTATCTTCTACTTTAGCGTGACACAGCCTTAGCTGGCCCTCTTTTCACTTCCTCCTTAGCAAGCTTGCCCATATTATACACATTCTCGTCATTCTCATATCTCTGCAGGCAGAAAGCAGCGATCTTTTTCAATGCTAAGTCAATACCTAGTTCCTATTACTGCCTTGCGCCTCGTCTCGCCTAGTTCCTTGTCCACTCCGTTCCTCGGCAGACTTCCTAACCCCCAAGCCGTAGGTCTCGATCTCTTTTTTCATCCTTACAATTTTATTCAACTCAGCCTCGTTGAAAAAATCCAGTGGTGTGGCTTCCACCCCTGCCCTTGCGAGTTTCCGAGTCTTGATAATCTATTCGTGCTTGACTACATTGGTCCATTGCTAAAACCAATGACTGGGCGTTGGCCCGAACTCGTCCTCCCATCTGAAAGCCCCACCGCCTGGTTGGTGCATCGGAGGCCGCCCCTCTTCCCTAGGCCTTGAGATTTCATCCCTCTCATCCCCGCTGCTAGTTTCTATAACTTCTCGCACATCCTCCTCCTCATCCCCCTCGTCTTCAGTCTGTATGGGGCTATACCCACCAGCAAGGTTCTTTGGATCGTAGGTAAAAGGGATCTATGTCCCCGTCCCATACCCCTCGCAACTGCCGTGACCGCTTCGTCCTTCAAGCGGGCTCTCCTTTTTCTCCTCGTCCTCCTCACGTTCGTCGCGCATACCTTGTCCCCCCTCGCTTTCCCCATGCCAAGTCTCACATCGTTCGCCCCTGTTGGCCCCTTCCTCGTTAGAGACCCGAGCCTTATCTCCCATTTCTGTGTTGCCTCCTTCTTTCACATTTGCCCTTCCCCTTTCGCCCTCACTGTCAGATGATATTTCTATACCTTCTCCCTTATGGAGGGTTCAGGGTTTCCTACAGAAACATTTCCTTCCACCCCTGCCTACCACTGGCCCGCCCATGAGCCCAATGTACAATTTTCTCTTCGCTGTCCTCCTCCCTTGGCTTGGTCCAGCTTCTTGCCCTCCGGTAGACCTGTTGATTGCCCCGTTGTCGTTCTCGTTGCCGAATTCCATTTTTGTCTTTTCTCATTTTACTCCTAAGCCCTGTATAGCAAAACAACACCCGCAATGTCCCTCATACACTTACACCTCCCCCCCCCTTAGGTCGGTAGACATTTCCAAAATGCACCCAGTATCCCTCGCATCACGCCTTTTTTATACATGCGAATGCGTCGTTTGTGATGACCTTATATTTTTTCCGCCAAAAACTATGGTACAATGCCCCAAACATCCCTCCCCGTTATCACACAAGCCGGTTATTGCAAGCCCCCAAGTCATACTTCCTTTCAACCTCAGTCAGTCCAAGCCAAAGCACCAGTCCCAAAAAAATGACAGTCCCACGAACATGGTCAGAGACAAACCATAATGTGGGTAAGGCTGTGGTTAGTCTTTAGCTTGTGGCTCCTCTGTTTCCTTATCTTCGGCCTCCTGAAGCCATTGTTCCACTGGGTCCCGACTTAGAAACCTGACCAGTCGTTGCTCCGGGAAGGGCCTTTTCAATCCTGTTCCATCCAAATCTTCCAGTTCGAAGGTGTTCAGTCCCATCCGCTTGGCGACCCGGTAGGGGCCTTTGAACCTCCTTCCCAACTGTCCTGACCAAGTACTTTCTAGTGCCGAGTTCCTTAGCAGTACCCTCTCCCCCACCTGAAGTGACTCCTTTCTGACATTCTTAACCTGGTCCCATCTTGCTTTGTCCCTCATTCTGCTGTCCAGCACCCGGCTGGCGATGTCTTCCATGACCTCCTCATTCTTAAGGATCTGTTGACATCTTGCCTCGATTAACTCTTCAGTGGTCATTTGCGGATCATCATCTAACCTATTCCAGGTAGGTACCAAGGCTTCCACAGGAAAGTCGATCTCTCTTCCGTACTAAAGGTCTGCCGGGATACATCCTGTTGTCCTTTTAGGAGTCATATTCTCTGCAAAGATAGCCCGCTTAAGACACCTAGGCCAGTTCCCCATATGGTCTGCTGCGAGCTTTGCAATCGTGTTCTTCAAGGTTCGGTGCCCCCTTTCCACCGGTGCATTGGCCTCAGGGTGATACGGCTCGATGAGTTTGATCGGTACGCAGAGTCTGTTAGGCATCCCCAATACTTCTTGGTTCACAAATTCCGTCCCATTGTCTGCTATAAATCTCCTGACGAACGGGTGCCTTAAGTAGAAGTCTTCTATCCAGTCCGCCATACTCCTTCCTGTCTTTTTCTTGAGGGCGACTGCCTCCACGAACCCACTCAAGTTGTCTTGCACATCTAGAATATACCTGTATCCATCCGTTGATACAGGCATTGACCGCAAGGTCGAGGTGGACCAGATGTCCCGGCCCTAGCACCCGCGTTGGTCTAAGAGGCCCGAAGACTCGTACCGAGCTTCATTCTTGGCAAATAAGGCAAGTCTGGCAGTATACGGCGACCATACCTGCCATGCCTGGCCAATAATAGAGCGATGTTATCTTTGCAAGTGTTCCTTTGGACGACCGATGACTTTCAGCTAACCCGTCGTGCATTGCCTGGATAACGTCTACTTGGCTAGATCTTCCGCACACAACCCTTCTGGGCATAGCACCTTCCTCCCTCCGAAACAAATGCCCGCCTCTTAGGACATACCTTTCGGCTTCTTCTCTTGCCTTAATACTGACTTCCGTAGGCTGTTTGTTTCCTACTAGCAACAACCCCATCTCCCGAAAGAGCCCTTCGTATGATTGGACATAGAAAAACTCCTCTCCTTCCTTGTCCCCATCCTTTCCTTCCTGCATCTGATTTACCATCCATTGCAACTCTTTCCTTTCCCAAGATTCCACTAAGCTCATCACTGCTTCCCGGCCCCCTTCGACCGCCATTGCTATCAGTTCCTCTTTCGGTCCAACTATCGCTCCCCATGAGTCATTTTCTTCTCTGCGTCCTCGAGTGGTAACTGGTCCTTCTCTAAGTTCTGCTACTACGGCAGGTGTCCCTTTCTCCAAAGTCTGGATCAATAGTTCTCCCGATGTGCATTCTCCGCTCATCATTTCGTTATCCACCACAAGAGTTCCTCCTTCGTATTCGAGGAATGCGTCTATGGGCTCTGCATCCTCCATCCCTTCGGGGGTGATGCAAACCCGACTCAGCCCATCTGCCTTGTTGCGGATTCCAGCAATCCGTTCGATCTTGTAATCGAACTGCCAGATGGATCCTAACCATCTCCCTACCGTCGGATTTATAGGCCTGTAATTCTTTAGGGCCCCTGCGACATTCGTCGGGTCGATCCTTAAGATGAACCGCCTCCCAAATAGGCAGGCCTGGAAGGTCTTAAGGCAATGCAGGATGACTAGGACTTCCTTCTTGAATTGCGAGTACCGCCGTTCTGCGGAGTTAAGGGTTCTACTTTCGAACCTAATCGGCATCTCTTTTACTCCCTCATCCCTTTGGATCAGCACACCTCCTACGACCAAAGGTCCTCCATCCGTCTCTAGGATGAAGGGTCGTCCCACTTCGTCATTAAAACAAGGCGCGGACAGGGCGACTGTCTCAGATGTCAATATGTCCTTGAGCCTTTGGACAACCCCTTCTCGCTCCTCCGTCCAATCCATGGTTCCTTCTTCCCTTATCATAGCCCGGATAGGCTCAACAATCTTGGCAAAGTTCTTAATGAAGATCCTCCAAAAGCCGACTATGCCTAGGAATGCCTTACCTCCGTCATCATGCGCAGTGGCGTCGGCCACTGTGATATCTTGTCGGTCTTTGCCGGATCCGGCTTCCTGCCGTAAGCACCGCAACGAAATCCTAGTATAGTTATCTCTGGTACTACTAGGATACTCTTTGGTCCACTAGCCGTAATGTTGTATACTAGGAACCGGCGGAGTAAGTCCTTGATATCCTGCACGTGGTCCCACACAAAATATCGGATCCCTGGCTGGACTTCCGTCTCGTCCTTTTCCTGCACGCCTTTAATCGGATTGTCATCGATGTAAGGTTCACATTTTTCTGGGAACATGTCCCCGGCCACGACGAACATCCTGCGTTGCACTTTGGCCACCGCGTTTGTGAATCCCATAGGCGTCACCTGCATCTGTAGCTGGCCTACGGGGGTGTGCATAGCGGTGTATGGCCTGTCTCGAACATCCAATGGAAGCTGGTCGTACCCTGAGTACATGTCTATCAGGGAGTAAATGCTCCGACCGGCGTGCGATTCTGCTAATAAGTCAGCCTGAGGTAGCGAGCCAGCATCCCGGATGGTTACCGCATTCAACTTCTGCAGGTCCTGAATCCACCTTGGTGTTTTGTTAGGCTTCCGAAAGACGAACCATCGATTTGCGTATGGCGATGTCATAGGCTCCGCAACGAAGGAGTCCATCTTCGCTCGGAGGAAGTCTGTTACCTCTCCCGCTATCCCAAATTCATAGGATGGCCCCTTGTCATTCCAGCACTCGTGTTCTACCGTATGGATTCTGACCGGAGGGATCAACTTCACATCCAGTCGTCCCTTCTGGTGATCACTAAAGGCAAACGCCAGATGAAATTCCTAGCAGGTCCTTTTGATCAGGCGGTTTTCTTATTCCGTTAAGAACCCGTCTATCCCTATCCTCATTGTGTCCGCTACCTCATCTGGTATCCGATGTCCCTCCGTCGCCCTTCTTTCTCGGCTCACTCGAAGGACCTCTTCCTCCTTCTCCATAGCCTCTTCCTTTGATGTCTCTAGCAGGATCGAGACCGGTTTTGCTTTCTTCCCTACCGGCTTGTACTTTTGAACACTTCTTTCCGGGATCTTTCTCCTAAAAAATGAACAGTCGGAATTGCCCCCGTCGCCTCTATGACTCGTGGTTGAATACTAACTAATTTTCCAATCAGGCAATATCTCTTTTGCACCTCTCTTTCGAACTTGGCCAAGGCTGCCGAATCCACCCCTACCTTGGCCAGGCTAGCACCAAGTTCGACCTCTGACTCCTTTTCTGCTACCATAACACCTAGGACTTCGTCCTCCTGCCTCCTCTTCTTCTGGGGCAGACCCATCTTGATCCACTCCTTCTTGTTGAACGCTTCCTCAATCATGACTTCTACCCTTTCTCTCATACCCTCCATCCGTACGAAAGCCCCTTTTCGCGGGCTATCCTCGAATGACGACGACCATGTTGCCAATTTCCCCCTCGGGGGGGCTCCTCCCGTTCCAAGGAGTCGGAGGAGCTCTCCCCGGCCGGTCACCGGGTCCTCTATGTCTACCATGTATGAGCCATCGTGCAAGTGCATGCTTATCATCTCTACGTTCACGCACCACGGTCTCCTGAGGATTATGTCGTGATCCATTTCCTCCATTACGGTCATCCGCTGAAATGACCAGATTGATTCCCTGACCCCTGCCTTTACAGCACACTTCGTGACATACCCAGTGAACGGGATTTTCCCACCAGCTCCCCGGATGCTCCCTGTTACTTCCTTGTTTACCGTACATCCCGTGATCGTTGCGAAATCTCTTCTTATAAGGGTGATTCCTGCCCCCCTGTCTACTAACGCCTCGGTATGCTGAGTTCCGATCTGGATTTTCAGCTTCCCTACGGGCAGTGCATGAAAGCTAAGCTTTGTCCCGGGAGGTGACCTCATAACCTCGCCGCCCTCTCGGTCGGGCAAACTCAAACGAATGTCCGCAAAAGCTTTCTCGAGATCCTCCAAGTCCCTGCGACTTCTCTGAAGGTTAGCTACTTCTTGCGGAGCTTCCTCCTCCCTCTCCCCTTCAGGTAGTTCGGGGTTGTTGCCTATTTCTACTCGCCGCCGGGTTAACAGTTGTCTAAGCCCTTTGAGCAACCTAGGGCTAGCCTGCAACATAGTCTGAAAAGACACCGACACCATGGTCCCTAGTAACTTGCTAATGGAGTCATCGATCTCAGGTAAGGATAAAATCGGGATTTGGTACCTAAACTTCTTCTTGGCAGCGGAAACTTTGTCTGTAGGCTCCTCTTCCCTAGGTTTCCCATAGACCTTTTCCGGTTCCTCGGCCTCAAGCTCTGCCTGGGGTTCTGAACTTCCAGCAACCTCCTCCATCACGGTGTTACGGTTAATCCTTCTCCCAACCGTCCCTAGCCGAGTAGTTGCGTTCACCCTATCATGTCCGTCGTTTTTCAAAATGAAATTGACCTGCGCCCCGCGCCCCTGGCGTTGATCCCAGATGATCTCGCCCACCGGTTCGGCTTCTACGACTGTTATTTCTAGCCCGTTGAGTATGATAATGGCTCGTCTCATTCCTCCTGGTGAGTTCCAGTTCACCCGTTTCCCTTGTGGTCCAAATATCTCCCCCTTTAATGACCTGGTACACCTTCTTTTTAGAATATCATGGTTGAGCTTTGGGCACACGCGCAAATAATATCCTATCACGGTACAGTACTTGCATTGCTCGTTAGCGGGATCTCTCCGTCCGAATCTACGATTGGCCACCCCTGGCGGAACTACTGCTTTCTGGAGCGGGAGGAGGGGACGGGATACTTGCGCCTGCATAACTAGTAGTTCGCTCTCCATCCTTTCAATCTTGTTGTCGACTCCGTGCACCCGTTCGTGTAGGCTTTCAATCCCCTTTTTCACCTTCTCGCCCGTCCTACTGGTCAAGTCTATAATCTCCCCTTCCTTAAGCAAGGCCAATGTCTCGGTCACTACCGTCTTTTCGGCCAGATCCGTTACCGTACTGAAATCAACGTCCCTGGTGTTTACAAATTTGCTCGTCTGTTGGTAAGCCGACAGGATTTTGTCCTTGTCGAACTCGGAGAACTGTCTGAGGAAATACTTACTCATTATTTGATCCGTAACCCCGGGGATTCTTAGTGCTACCAAAGTAAACTCCCGTAGGAAATCATTGTACGTTGCGAAGTTCTTTCCCTGGACTGCCGCTAAATCGCTCTCCGTTGCCATCTTTTCTGCTGCCAGATACTTTCTCATCATCACATTCCATGTTTCTTTCCAAGACCGGCTTGCGGCTACGATGACGATTTTGTCCCATCCTAGGCTCAAAGACACATGCTGTCCCAGGTGGTCCATCTTCTCCTCTTCGGTCCATTTCAACAGCGCAGCCAGGTTCTTGTAATCTATCAGGAATTGCGTGATGTTCACCCCATCAAACGTCGACGTTTTCTTGGCATCCGCTAGGTAGCCTTGATTTTTGTTTAGTGCTCGCGCGAGGGACGACACTATCTTCTTAAGGCCGCCCTCGGAGCTGCTGGCCTCGCCTGTCACACTGTTATCCCGACCTTCCTTGCCGGCCTTCTGTCCCTCCATGGTTTTCGTAGTTCCTTCTGGGTCAAGCCATCCCAACACTCTTTCCCTAAGGCTCCAGAGTCCTTCGCATCCTCGCATCACTACTGGCGTGGTCGGCAGGCGGCTAGCCCTACTATCTATGGCTGGCGGGGTCGTTGCTTTTTCCACGTCCATCCCCGGAGAGTTCTCCTCTTCTTCCCTTCTTTTGCTCGGCGTTCCCCCACGGTCACTACCTTTATCCCCTTGTCCAGTCCCACCTCGGCCGGTTCTCCGTTCGTCCGGGAGTTCCTCCTGCAGAGAGCCTTCTTCGTTCCCAGTCATCATTTCCTCAATCAATCTCGCCTTGTATTCCGCGGTCTTTTTGTCTATCTCGACTAGTCTGCGCCCCGTATCCGTGACTCTTACTTTCTTAGACACGGCTCCTTCCGATTTCTCGGGGTTTGTCCTATCCTTATTCCTGCCTTCCTTGGTCCCCTGAGTCCCCTGCCTGCTTCCCCCTGCTTTCCCCGAGCTTTCCCCCGAAGAGATCTCCTTCCGGTTCCCTTTGGTACCATCCGGATTTATCGATTCTCTGTCCTTCTGCCCCCCTTCGCTTTGTGCGGCACTGCCTCCTAAGCCCGGTTCTTCTTCACTCTTATGATTATCTGTCTCCTCCTCCGTTGCCATTTTCCCTAGTTCTGCATAAGCCAAAGAATTCCCAGGACACACGCAATGTGAGGTATTTTATGTTTCCTAGGCTCCCAACCCTGTTGGCTTATCTGTATAGCCTCCTTTCCCATCCTCGTTTCCTTATTGCCCTTCCTTAAGGAGGGGCCACGACTGGGCGGGAGCCGAGCTATGAACGTGACTGGCTTCCTTTATCACAAGCCCGTTTGTAGTGCCCTTGTCCCGTCGGCCGACGCGAGGGAGTCCGGGTTAGGCATCCTGCTAGGGGAAGCCTTCCCGAGCAGCGTTTCCCATTTTTTACCCTCCGGGTTATGGTCACTCATTAGGAGTCTACCCCCTTCTTTGTTTTTCTAATGGGTTTTAGCCATCTGGGTCCGAGGCCCCTTTCTTATTCCCATCGGCGAATTTCCGTACGCAGCGGTCTATACAAGATCTGCCATATTGGCCTGCCTGCGGATCCTAGTCCCGCTCGCGCCCTCGTGGTTCTTCCGGTCGGTCGGCTCCTCGAATAGCTCAGCCACCCCCGTTAGATAATTCTCCCCTATCTCGATTTCCCTTTGGATTATGCGTTCGTGCCCTGCCTGGTCTAGCCAGGGAGCACGGAATATCAGGATATGGATGACCTACAGTAACTCGTGGGCCCTGTTTCCCCTGAACGGCCCATGCCTCACGGCGACATCATAGAATATCCCGATGGTTAGAGAGGGAAAGTGGTCTGCCCACATTATTGTCGAGTATGCCAGCTCTCGCGCCCTTGTGAGGTTCCCGAAGACGAGATCTATCATAAAACAGGGGACCCGGCACCTCAGCGGCGTGGTTGGTGCTCTGAATTCACGCCATCCCCCCATTTCTACCCGGGTAAGTAAGCCCACGTTCCTTCTACCCCTGACTGATTGTCCTATCCGGGTCAACGTCCGAGCGGCCCTTTGAAAAACCGGCGCCAGCTCGTGACCTTGTGCTATCTCTACCCCCAACGAGTGCCAGCCGATCTCAGGCAGATACATGGTCCCGGTAACTTCCAGATTGGAAAACAGATCGTCCCCGGGCCCTCGGTCGAGTCTCGTCCCTGTCCATCGACATTCTACCAACATGAAGGCGGCGTCCCTCCCCAAAGTCATAGCCCGCCATTCTATATCGAACCCCCGATAAGTTGAACTCGACGGGAGGGATACTTCCCARCGYCCACCRTTATTCCAYGGCGGTCCGGRGTACCGGGRTTGGCGCGCCATTCGYAMACGGGCCTGAAGTTCCATATGCTCACGTCTTGCTGCCATGGTTACCTTGGTGATTTCCTGCATGATCCACATAGAAAGTGTTACAACCAATCCTTAGAAACCGTCCACCTACTGCCCCCTTGCCCTTCGTGTTTTCATTCCTCTTTTCTAGTCCCAACTATCCCTCCATATCCCCGGGAGCAGTAGTCTCCTCTGGGTGTTCGTACGGCCAGTAGAGATCATCTATGTAGGTCGCGCCCCGACCTACCTCTCGCCGGATGACCCCCAACATGGTCTCATCACTTATTTGGGGGATTCCCGGCCTAGTATTTACCACTGCTCGTAGAATGCAAAGCACCTCGCGCCCCTGTTCGTCCCCGAAAGACCCCATCTCTAGAAAGACCCGATAGTATTCTCGATACATTAATGCTTCGCCGAAATTTAGCCTCGTCACGACAGTCACCGCCTGCTCCACTCGTTCTGTGCCCCCCATTTGTCTTAGCAGGAAGAGCGGTAGACTCATCCGTACGACCTCACTTGGTAGCTCAAAGACCCCTGTCGCGGCGACTTTTACCTCCGCCGTTACGTCATCTCGTCCCGGGTCTGCAAACTCAAACCCCTCCCGCCAGGTTATTTGCCATGCCCCTTCGAACATTCGCACGGGATCATCCCCGGAAGCCAAAGCAATCCCAAAGGTCCGCCATCCCTCTTCCGACAAGTGTAAGGATCCCGTTGCATGTACACGCCCCGGGCGATTCAAGTCTACGCCCCCGAACTCCCCTCTCGCACGCCATTCCAGCTCCACTACTAGGTACACCATATCTTCCACCAATTCTACCCCCACCCAGTCCATCACCGGATTGCTTACCGTACTTCTTGCCGGCAGCCTTATTTCGACCCTGCCTTCTGATATTCTTGGTGGCAGGATCCCACGAGGCCTATCCTCCCAGAACGTCATTCGCCGGGTCATCTCGCAATGTCGCATTTCCCGTTTTCTTAGTCTGCTTGCTGCACCCATCGAGATTCCACGCCTTTCGTGTTTTAGTCCTTCACCCCCCCCCTACTTATCGTACACTAGTTCTTGTCGTTATCCCGTTTCCATGTCTGCCTTTATTTTGGCATCCTCGCGTCCCTTGCTGACTAATGTACATGCCCCTTTCTTATGTTACATCCTAAATCACATACATCCTCCATACTCCGTCCTTCCCATGGCGCTCGAACTTTGAACCCTTCTAATCAAGCCACCGCACCTCAAACAGCAAAAATACATCATCCACATAGGATGGCGCGGCCGCCACCTCCCGGCTAACTATGGCATCCCAAGCTTTCGCGCTTACTTCGAGGCGATCGTACTTGCCTATTCTTAGGACGATTATGACTTCCTCGGCTTTATCTCCGTAGAAGGGCCCATATTTTAATGAGAGCCTATAGAACTCCCTAGTCAATCAGGCACACTCTATATGCACCCTTCTCATGGAGTCGGCTACTTCTAAAATGTGCTCAAACCCACCGAACCACTCGGCTATGAATTCCAGTACCCAAGCCGTTATCCGTAGACTTGGAGGTTTGAGTTCCTTCCATCCTCCCATCACAACTCTGCTACTAACTTCAGCCCATCCCTCGTTGGCGAACAACTTGCCTTCATTTCGGGTTCGGGCCTCTGCATCCCCTAGAAGCCACATCGGGTCCTGTCCCATTGCTAACATGGTGCAAAACAGGTGCCATCCATCCTCGGAGAGGACAATCGTTCCAACTGACTCTACCTTGCCTTCTGCTATATCATCCCATCCTTCCTTTTCCCTTATCGGGTTCCAAATCCGCTCTATCCATACATATGACAAGTCCCGGGCAACCTCAAACCTAAACCAATCGCACGTGGTCCCCCACCCGTCCTCCCTAAGTTAAGTTTCCCCACTCTTATCAGAAGCTCCAATCCTCTATCTCCTCATCCTCGTCCTCATCACCGAAATCGGCCTCTCCGTCGTAGAACAACTCTTTTACCCCCTCCAAAAATATCTCCCCTATTGCCACATTTCTATACATTATCCCCCAATGTACAGGGCTAGAGACATAGATATTGTCTAAGCTAAGACAGCTTAGTATCTCGGTCAGTTCGTCCGCGCAGTTCCCCTCAAACGGCCTCATTTCTACTGACAACCAAAAGAAATCCTGCCTAGCGCATTGGTATAGCCCGAGGTTCGTCATGGACTGGCATATCCGTACTAGCCTGCTCCGAGTTCCGAAAACCGCATCCACTAGGAAGGGAGGCAGCACACATCCCATAGTTCTTACGGGTCGCATCATGCTTCCTCTATCCCCAAGTTCCACCCGCACATCTACCCTCTCCATTTCCATCTCCCTTCGCTGACACGCAGCCCACACGACCTCCGCTTCCACCTTCTTAAACAATTCGTCCGGCGTATTTCCGAGTGTCAATTCTATGACCATAGCATTTTCCCCATCTTGCGACAAGTAGACCCACCCCCGAGCTTCCACTATTTCCCGGAACTCCAAATCCATTAAACTTGGTGACAACCTTGTCAAGCTAACATTAGCCCATACCGTCTCTATCCATAGGAACGCGTCTTTCCCATCCAGCATCACGGTTTGATATGCTAGTTCAAGGTCCGTCCACGCCCCATCTTCCGGGAGGACGACCGACACCCCATCCTTTACGTCTACTAGCATCTCTGGACCGCTGGTATAAGTCGGGGGAGACAACCATCGCGACATCTTGTTTCCAGCACCCGGCCCCTGCTTTTCATGAAAGAGTACCGACCGGTTCTTCTGGTCAGCGCAACCCCTTTTCTTAAATGAGGATTATTTCAGACCCCCCATTTAGGTCTCCCTAATTTACCTTCTCATTCCTAAGTACCGCTTTTCCCATAATTCCCTCTGTCGGCCACCCATTTGTCCACATTCTTTCTCTTGGTTCCATTGCAATTGACCTCTATCCTTCTTCCTTTCGATCATCTCTCACTCGTGGGGACTTAGAAGGGAGGGGGAATAAACTTAGAAGAATACCCGTTCAACAATCCAAGCTCAATCAATCTTTACGGGGGAGGGTACATAAAAAAAAATCAGCCAATCTCACATACGGGCCGGTCATTTCCTCACCGGTCATCCCAATATGATCTCTCCGCTGGTACTATCGGTAGGGTTTTATCCCATACCTCAAGCACAGCTCAACTGTCGCGAGCACGATACCCAGGTCTCAGCAAGGCTTTCGCCCTTTCCTCCTTACCCAGAATACCCCATCCCTTCTTGCCGCTTTGCACATCCATACCGACACCGAGGGTTACCTCGAGTGCCTAAATACAGGGACAAAGTCAGTCGTCCGGGCATTCACTTCCATCGGTCCGACAAGAATCAGCCTTTCCCAAAACCATGCTACGAGAAGCTACGGATCGCCTCCCAAGCTCCGTCTTTGCCCCCATGCAGCGGTGCTCCCTCCGCCAGTCCACAGGCTAGGCCCCGCCTGACGAACGTTTCACACCCCGCCCGACAGATCAATCGAGCCGGAGCCCGTCACCGCGCGGACGAGGATGCTAATAAGCCAAGAGAACGTGACAAACTCCCGTTAGACAACTCGGTGGCCTGACCCCCGCATACGAACAAACGGCAGCCTGCAAAGAGAACGATGTTTGGCAACCCGCACTGGCCGGTGCAGACCAATCCTTTCCTTCCGAAAGGCAGGACGCTCGAATCCCATCATGCAAACACAAGTCCCAAGCGGGACACATATAGTACAAGTGCCATTCCCTTGGTGCACCTAACGCTTATTACCCATAACTCACAGATTTTCTCTCAGGACAATGAGTGTCACTCCCCCTACTTTCATACATAGTGGTTGGTTCCTTCTCGTGAGAATCTTCAAGGGTGATCTAGTTTTCCTTGGAGTCTAGCAACTCCCTTCATTTCCCTTCTCTTCACTTGTCTGTCCTTTCATAGGGTAGGATTGTTCCTTTTTGATAACCCTTTGTGTTCATATTGGTTCCTTCAAACATTTCAAAAAAAAAGTGCAAAGTGCATGAGCCCACTGGGCTCAACGAAGGAGATAGAAGGGCACCCGTCCGGTCGGATCACTCCGCCGCGGGATTTTCATTGGAGTCTGGCCTAGGCCAAGCACCTACCGTCTGCCAGGTAACCGGAGCCCTTCTTTCATACGAAGAGGAAGGGTCGACCTGCGACTTGTCCAAGGCTTCCCCGGACTGGCGAACACCAGCGCCGGACGAAGGAGGACGAGAACCATTCCACAAGGACATGGCTGATCAAGTGCATAGCATGCATGTTATACCTCCAGGCCTGGCCATGCCATGCGCCCAGCCACCCTCAAATCTGATTTATCACAAGGGAAAGAGCAAACACAAGTCTATTTTCCTTATCTTGGGTTGTGTACATGTCAATGCGTCGGGCGCCTCCATCGGAATCGCAAGGGTCAATTTAACCCGTACCCGTCACCTCCACCATTTTTGTAGGGCCAAACCCCGATAAACTTTCGAGCCTTAGTCGACCCCACTGCTGGTCCCAGTTGGCTCGGCCCGCCCACACTCATGCTCAGGGCGCGGGTCATTCGTCCCAAGGTCACCCCCACCTAGTGCTTTGAGATGGATGGGGATGGACCATCGCGCGAGAGAGCTTTGACATTGGGGATGTAGCTCAGCCCTCACGTCGGGTGGTAGTCTCGCTGGTCGCTCCGCAACGCTGATTTTGTTTTTGATTCTTTATAGTGTTCTCAAGCAATTGCTCCTTCCAATACGCAGGCAGTCCAGGGGTTCTTTGAGCCTTTCTCTTCTCTTGTGCATAGGCTAAGCGTCATCCTTAGGCCACGCACCATTTCCCTAGGCATTTTGTCTATATGGCGTCATCGGGGTGCCGCGGGGCCGTCCTTCCCCTCGGCTCTACGCATCCATCGGATCTCACAATTTGCTTCCCACCTTATTGAAGTAGGCCTTTTAGTCTTTTCGAGGTCCTCATATGCATGCACAGACAACGTCACATTTTTCTTGGTACGATTGCACTCCCAATCACACTTCCAAGTCTCAAGTTCAAAAGTCATTTTCATGAATTGGCTCTATGTTAAGGGTCCCATGGCCCCTTTGTCCCTCTTCCCTTTCCCTCTTGGTGCCGAGTTCCTCTCGCCCTTATCCCGCTCAAGGCATCTCTAGCCATTACTCACCTGCACAGTCCCACACAAGCAAAAAGATCCATACAATGTTCCCCGTTGGGGGTCAACACATAGCCCTTCCCACATGCCTATTCTTTCCATGCTCTTTGGCTGTGCTTTGTTCCCTCTTTGTTGTTCAATCAGCCCATCCTCTTCTCATAGTCATGCAGTCGGGGAAATGGTTGAGTCAAAATGACCTCACTTTCAACTTATGCTTTCTTCCGGATTCCTCCTCTCCCACTTCCCTTTTCGGACATCCTCTCTTTTCCCTTCTTGATGGCACAAGGGACCAGTTACCCCCCATTGTCCTCTTTCTCCACCAAGTGAGGTCTGATTTCGATCTCCGCTCGTGCCCTGGCAATGTTTTCCAAGTGAAGGGGGGAGAAGGGTTAGTCATATGCTAAGTGAGGGGAAGGGAGAGAGAGGGTCAGATGATGATGCGCGGGAGAAAGAGGGGAAGAGAGAGGGAGAGAGAAAAGGCAAGAGAGAGAGAGAGAGAGAGAGAGAGAGAGAAAGAAAGAAAGAGAGAGAGAGAGAGAGAGAGAGAGAGAGAGAGAGAGAGGGCAAGAGTCTCATAGTCTTAATCAAGTCATTACCCCATCATAGCAGCCCAATGTCGGTCACCCATCCCTTAGAGAAAGAGCAACTAAAGTAAGGACTGGAACATCCACTCATGCTTTAACTTGCCAAAAGTGTAAAAGTGAATTAGTTGAACACATGCATATGAAGGAGAGGTTGACCAAGCAAGAACCGAAATATCAACACATGATTGAACTTGACAATTAGAAGAAATGAACTAATGGAATACATGCACATGAAGGAGAGATTGACCAAGTAAGAACCGGATCATCAACACATGCTTGA